GGCCCCATTGCTCTCCCCTCTACTTACCAGCCTAAAAAAAATGTAGACCCAAAGGAGGCGGTGCCTCTAACACTCAATAATTATTTAGGCTCTTTCCCAAGCTAGCTGTTTGGAACATGAGAGGTGACAACATAAATTCTAGAATTAATGATTGTCAGAATTTTGCTAAAGAATAATATTTGGATCTCTTTTGTTAGATACCAAGCTTAACTTCACATTCTTAACTGACCTCTTCTCTCTTAAACATTTTGACATCTTAAATGAAGATCGTGTTGACAACTTTCACAGCTCTAATAATGGTTGTATTTGGGGAATCCTTCCAATATTCCCTTCAATACTCTGGAAGTTCAGTTTCAATTCATCCAAGGGATGATTAACTTTTCTACTGCACTTTTCTTTTTAATTATTTTTGTCTACGCCTACAACAATGATACTCAAAGGCTTTATGGAGTTTCATTAATGCTCTTGCTGCTAATATCTCTTCTCCTTTGATTTTTGTTAAAGATTTTAACTATATATTAGACACATTGGTGAGAAAGTTGGAGTCTCCCCCACTCTTTCTAGCAAATTGGAGGATTTCAATAAATGAATTTTTGAATCGGGTCTGATTGAGCTTCCCAACTTTGGATTCTCCTTTTGTTGGTTTAATCAGCAATTGAAAATCCTATAAGAGATGTCTTCTTGGCAAAGCTCTTGTAAATTGTCACTAGTTATTTGTTTTTATTTTCTCATCTTATAAAGTTTTACAACCCTGCATTTCTGACATTCCCCTATTACCATTATTTTCGAGACTAACTTCGTTCCTAGATGCAGATTCATGTACAAAAATCATTAGAAGTTTGTAGAGGCATTTTTTACATTATTTTAGAAGCTTGAAATATTCAGGTGGATGGTGATCACATTTTCACTTTCGAGAAAAAAAATTAAAAATGTCAAGAATGTTCTTTTAAATGCTAATCGGTCGTCTTCTAATTTTATTGTTGAAAATATCAAGCCTTTAAAAGCCTAAAAAAGGCCTCTTTATTGTACTTGAGCAACAACCTCTATCCCCTAACCTTCTTTCTCAAAAGCTTCGAATACAAAATAAACTCATTGAAGCTACCAACATGGAAAGTGTTTGGATCAAACGAAGTGCTAAATGTTCTTGGATTATAAAAGGAGAAGATGATTAAAGTTGCTCTATCAAAGAATAAAAAATAGAGGAAATAGAAACCATATTAGATAGTTGAAGCATGATCTCTCTCAATGAATTACTCAACATGATATCACCCATGTTGTGGTTTCTCATTTTTCCACGCTTCTGAGTAATTTAGGCAACTCTTCTACAGTCTTCATGATATTCTTATTGGCAAAACTCTAACAAGTATTGAAGAAAGCTCTATTGTTGTTGATTTTTCTGATGGGGACATTAAACATGTCTTTTTTCTATTAGATCGGACAAGACAACCGATCTTGATAGTTTCAAGTCTTCTTTCTTCAAAGTCTCTTAGGATATTATTGGAGAGGATTGTATCAAAGACATTAAATATTTCGTTACATCATCTAAATTACATGATAGGGTAAAACATGCTGCTTTAATCTTAATGCCAAAAACATAGATTAAAGAATTATTTGCCATCCATCACTAGCTGTTGTTATCAAAGGGAGGGATATCATTGACAATATTATCATTGCAAATGCATGCTTCAAGGTTTCAACTCTTCTGGCCACTTCGAAACATTATGCACAAAATTAACATATAAAAAAGCTTTCGACTATGTGAATAGGAACTTTATCTATGAAAGATTACAACGGTTAGGCTTTCCTCTTCAATTCATTGAATAGATCAAAGCGTGCACCTCATAAGTCCACTTTTTTGGTTATTTTTAAGAGTGAGTTCCATGGTTACTTTTCCACTAACTCTGGTTTGTGACAAGGTTGCTCTCTCTCTCCCTACCTTTTCACAATAGCTAGGGATGGCTTCTCTAGATTGTTGGACAAGAGTTAGTACTCCTATACGATTGATAGCAACAATGATAAAATTGCGCATCTCATATATGCAGATGACTTACTTGTGTTTGGTATATTCTTTTCATGTGACATACATAACCTGGCTTCAAACTTAAAAATCTTCTATGAGGTTTCTAATCTCCAAGACAACTCAACAAAATCTTTTATTACCTTCTCCAAATCTATCCCTGATACTCAATAGTTGCATTTTTGTGATATTCTTGGCTTCAAGGACAAATCTCTTCCTTGGGATCACCTAGGCATCACCATTAGCCATTCTAGACTCTTAACTACTACTTGTCACCAAATTATGGAGAGAATGCATCATTGCCTTAATTGTTGGAAGCACAAAACTCTTTCATTTGCAGGGCATTTGCAGCTTATCAAAACTTATATCTAGAACTTTATTACTGGTTTAGATTCACATTTCCCTAAAAGGGTTAGAAAAAAAATTACATATCACATGGATAATTCTCTACAGTTAAACAACTCTTCTAGTGGTATGCTACCATTGCTAGGGCAAATACCCCCAAGCCTAAATATTTGAGAGGATTTGGTCTCCTTAAAATTGATGCCATTAATCTCTTGTGCAAAGGGAAGTTGATATTGGAGACTCTTCAATTACTGTAATTTCTTATCTATTTGGTGTTGGGAAAAATATGACTCTCTTTGGTCCCCCCCCGAACCCCCACCCCCCCCCCCCTGTGTCACCGCAAAAAAAGATAAGAAATATAAGATTAATGAAAATCACTGCTAGACATCTAATCAAGAATCACTCTTTCTTTCATGACCCTTGGATTAAAGGCTATGCTTGGTTCACTTGAAATAAAGATGCCAAAATTTTTTATGTATTAATGGTAAATGGTGCCTTCTCCATTCTGAATCTACATTAAATGACTGTAACATATTTATGATACTAGAATCATTGACTCCTCTTGTCAATGTACCTGGAAAAATACCAAATCTTATTCAACACCCTCTTTTGAGGCTCAACAGGCAATAACATGGGTTTTTGATTGGTAGCTTTTTAATGCAATGGATACGACATTGATGACTCCTCTATAGATCTACATCCTTCTTCTTTTTCTCTCATCCTTCTACCTGGTGGGGCCTATGATATGAATGTTGGGGCATTTTTTGAGCTTACCTATTTTATTTTATTTTTACTAATCTTGGAAGATTTTTGTTTCATAAAGTTCGTGATTGTTATACTTAATACTCTAAGGTGGAGATATAAGGGTGTTCCTTATTATATGTTGTTTTTTGTTCATCTTAAATCTTTGTATTTTGAGAGTCGACATCTTTCCGGAAGGCATTTCTCTAGAAGGCTTAGAATTTTTAATTTGGTAGACATATCAAGACACATTCTTCTTTGGTCTCAAGGTTTAACCAACCAATTTTTCTGTTCTGGATGAAATTTGATTCTATGATTTGTTTTGGTTGGATGAGAAGGATTATTATTCTATTTTTGGGAGTTTCATTGGCTTCCACTTTCTTTGAGCTAATATGATAACTTGAGTTTTTGAAGTTTAATTACTGCTAAAAGATGAACTTTTGGCGATTTTGGAGGGCAATGGGTGCATATCTAAGGTACTATTGCGAAACTATGGGGCTCGTCCGACTTATATTAGGTCAATTTGACATTTTTCCTTCACTTATGTCGTTAGATTTTGGCTTTTTTGGACAGGTACTCCTTATTCTTACTATTTGGATTCTTACTTTGTATTTTCAAGTTGACTTTTTGGATGGTGTCTGATCATTAACGAGCAAGAATGGATCCCGATCATTGACGTTGTTTATGTGATGTCTTAATTTCATGTTTGTCTATTATCTTCTCAAATACAAGTTTTTTTTTAACTTGTACATGAGAATAGAACTTTTGTATTCTTATTGCACCCAAAAAAAAGTAGGCTACAAAGTTTGGTTTCATAGCACTTCTATGGATTTTATACCTATTAACAATATTGGGAACCTGTAGGGCTCTAACTGGAAAGTCAACCAAGTTTATATTTTTTCAATTTTTTCAGGCGTGATGAGTATTCAAACTCAGCATAATAAAATTATTTATTTTATTTTCAGCCAATTCACTACACATTCAATCACATAAAAGCATACTAAGTTGAAACACTTAATAGTACAAGGCCTGAAAAAAAAGGAAATATTACATATAGATAATCGTATGTGCGACAATCAATGACCCTTGAGCATGCAGTGTACACCACATAGTACTCCATCATGAATGGTTGTCCAGATATATTTTTCTATTATTCTTGGGTCTTAGAAGATACAGTCTATTGAGGAGACGATAGAACTTTCATGGATTGATCTGATTATCTCCTTTCTTCAGAACGATGCACTTCCCAAAGACAGGAATAAAAGCCCTCCATGTTAAGAGACAAGTTGCAAATATCACCATTATTAATGGTGAACCTTACAAGAGGACAATCACTGAGGCATACCTCAAGTGCCTTTCTCCAACTGATATTGACAACGCGTTGCGAGAAGTTCACTCTGCTTATATTGTGAACTCTTGGGTGGAAGAATTGTTTAAGCATTGGATTATAAGTTAATTGTAAAAAATAAAAACAGTTGAGTAATAAAAAAGTAAATATTTAGTGTGAGTAAACCTAGTCTGATTAAAGGCCACGGAAGTTATTAGGAAGGCCTTCTGTTTGATCTTCTTTGGCTATAATGACTCTAACAAATCTATTGAGGTAACAAACTCCAATGTGTTTATGAAGATAACCATAGTTCCATAAGGATGTATTCATTAAAGTCTCATTACAATACTATTAACAAGGGCCTGACATCATCAGTCATAACCCATAAGAATAACTTTATTAAAGTTTAATTGGGATGTGGTTGAAGTGGGCCTAACTAAGCCAAAAACCTATAAACACTCCACTGAAGTCCAAACATGATATGGTTAAAGAGGGTCTAACCACCATCCTTTTACCATAATGACCAGTGCATTAGAGTCTCATCTGCGGGATGTGATTAGAATGAGTACGAGTGACTTATTTTAATTCTTTCAATATGTGTGGGATGAGGTTGATGAGTATAATCCCTCATCCCACACATATGATTATAACCTATGATTATATCATGATTTTTTATTAAAGTTTAATCAAATTAAAGTTGAAAAGGATCTAAACGATCTTTATGGAAAACCTCGTTAAAGTCTCATTGGAATGCCGTTGAAGAGGTTACCACATCATTGCCACCCTTTGGTGGAATAATCATGACACTTATTACAGTCTTTCGTAATCTCCTTTTAACATAAAATGTCAAATAATTTCTTTATCATTTATTGAAGACAGTAAGAAAATGCTATTTGTGATAAACTAGATCGGGATAGAAGAGTATAATCTGGTTTTACCCTATCTAACCATTTTGGGTCCGTGGCCAATCATACAACTCCTATAATGCCTGAATTTTGATGATGATATTGTCATCCTTTCGATTGCATCTCGATATTATGTTTCCTATTGCTGAGCAACTTGTATTCAAATCTTTGGGTAGAATCATAAGTTCATCATTTTGATTCGCAATGTTCCTTCTACTCCTTATCGTAGGCGATCTTAGACTCCAAAGAGTCAAGGAGCCATCACAGCTGACCACCAAATCATGGCGAAGTATTTTTTCAAACAACCCATCTCCTACCTGCTTGAGCAGCTGAAGTCCTCACAAGCACAGTTTCTAACTTAAGAATTGAATTCTTACACTAAAGGAAACCACTCTTGGGGAATTCACTAACATCATTTTCTTAAATACCTTCAATATGTCTCGTATGCTTTGCTCCTAATCATAAATGCCTATCACTATCATATAATAATGTTTTAACCAGTCAGAAGTTTTCTCTAGTAGAAGAATATCATTAATCAAAAGAAAGAAAACAATAATAAAACTTCAAAATTTGATATAAAAGAACTTGTTCTTCACGCCATAAAACTAGATGATTATCTTACTCTGATTCGATGTTTGTGAGCGAGAATCTCCTCCTGATTTGGACGTTTTACGAATTTATATGAGAACATAGTATGAGTTGAAAATACCTCACATGATTAGGGCTATTTTGCATATGATCCCATGTATCCTGTAGCGATAATATCTTTTTTGATTAGTTTTGCCCCTGCAAAGTCCTTCACAACGCAGGTATTTTTCCTCATTATGACAACATCTTTCACTTCTTGAGGCAAGAGAATCAATTCCCTCCGTTCTGCTGTGCTGACATAGGCGGTAAAGCTATCTCCATCCCCAATAGCTTTCTCATCTATCTGTTAAGTCTATCCATTCTTAAGCGCGATTTAAGAGACTCGGCTTTTCATTAGTGTTTAACAGGTGCAATATCTATCAGATCTTTGGTGTAGGGTTATTTTGACAAAGTTTAATTAATTTCTTTCAGATCTTAATTATGATTAAAGATATATTAATTTTAATTATTCCTTTTCTATACATATAAAACTGTGTAAATTTAAACAAATTGCACATGACAACTGTTATATTAAAACTTTCACATAAAATAACATTTACAATGAGCAGTTAGAATACTACTACAAATTATGATTATTAGCCTTCATGCATAGCTTAACAGCATCATAACCTAAATGATTCCTTTGTATTGAGTCTGATTCAATCCAGCTCTAAAGCAAGCCATGATCAGACTCATTCCTTTTCAAAAGACTTGATATATATATATAT